GCAAGAATTCATGGGAAATAGAGGGAAGGAAAGAAATTTGAAAAGTTGAGAACTTAAAGAGTTGGAACTTCAAAAGTCATCTTATGCTTTAATGAAAAAAAGGCAATTGTCCCTCATCGGTAATGGAAAGGAAAATAGGAGAGTTTAAATACGTAAACACTCCTATTAATTGTTAAAAGGGTTGGAAAGAGGGACTCCCCTCGCGCCGTCGTCATCGTCGCTCGCTTCGATTTCGGCTTCGGTTTCGGCTTTGGCAAATGATCGAGAGATTATTTTTTGGACAAAATTTATTTTAATTATTTAGTTAATTAATTAAATAGCCAAATAATATTTTCAATTAATTAGTTGATAACAAAAGTTAACCGAAATATTTTCACCTTTTTAGTTAATTCGACCCGACTCGGATCTGTGACCCGTTTTATTTTCCGTTTTATTTAAAATTTCTGCCATAACTGTTCTGAAAGGTTGCTACTTTCAGGAACAGTCAATACCATTTGAAAGGTTGCAAAGTTTCATTAATGGTCGTGTCAATTCTGAAAGGGTTGCAACCTTTCAGAACATATTCTTCTTGCCTATAACTACCACTCAGTCTTCAGAATATTTTCAAACGAAATTTTCTGATCTTCCTTCTTCTTCTAAACACATTTTTCTTCGTGTACTTTCCTGTTGTGGATTAATTCGCTAACAGTAGCTTTTGGTATCTACACTCTACTGATTAAAATCATTTTACCCTGGGAGGTTATATTCCAAATCAAACCTCGGATACTAGAGGGGAATAATTTCCTTAAGGGGACACTGTGAGTTCAGTGGACTTGATCTTCTTCTAAACTAAAAGATTGTTTCAGTTTCTGGTACGTTTATTTTAAGTATTTTCTGAAATAAATTTCTGTTCATCTTGCTTATTGATTCGATAAATTTCAATTAATTCGTGTTTCTGAATAATTTATTACAATCAGTAATTTCTGATTTTAATAACACAGATCGATAAACATTACTTTCATCTTCTCCCTTTTTCAAGTTTCATTTTACTTGTTAAATATATATTTTTTTCCTACTGTAATTTCCTTCTCAATTCTCATGTCTTTTTAGTCTTTCGTTTGTTCATATTTTTATGTTACTATTTGTATTTAATTTCACAAACATACACTAATAGCATATATTTTATTGCTTTTCAGGTTCTGTAAGCAACAATTTATTGTTCAAAATTGGGATCGCGACTACACATAAAGGTGAGAGATATTTCAAATATAAATTGCATAAATTTGTATATTTAATTATATGAGAATAACATATATTTCAATTTATATCCAGAATTATTGTAAAGTGAAATTAAAAAAAATCTTGCATAATATGTCAAAACGTTTTAATCTGTATTATCTTATCTTTTTTGTTTAAAAAAATTTCTTCTCTTTATAATTTCAAAAAAGTGGATGACACTAAAAAAAAATGAAACGAAGATGTTTCGAATGCAAACTATGTAAACTTTATATATTTAATTATATATGATATATAGAATGTAAACTATCTAAATTTGTGAATGTAATCATATATACGGTATTATATTTTATAGATGTATTCACAACTTAAGCAAAATTAGTAAAAGAAAGAAAATTGAAAGTTTATCTTGATGAAAAATATGAACAAACGAAAGATTAAAAAGATAAAGAAATGAAAAAGAGAAAGTGTTGCATACATTTTTTCTTTTTGTTTTTACAAAAAACAAATAAAAGAAAACAATTTGAGTCTTCGAAAATGAATTAGAGGGGGGGAAAGGAGGACAAAAGAAATGAGAAAGAGAAAATTAGAGGGTCAAAAAAGTAAAAATAGAAATAAAAAATAATTTTAATTTCTTTTCTGCTTACCTGTCAAGACTTTTTAATTGGTGTCTATTTCCCTTTCTGTTTCCTTACATTTCCTTCTTTTTCCTTAATTCTTTTTTTGTTTATTTATTTTACATTTTCTGATTTGTTAATAATAAAAATGAAAAACTTAAGAAGTACAAAAATGGAGTAAATGGTAGATTATCTAAATTTATAAATACTACAACTTTATATTTATAATATTAAAAATATGAAATTGAGCAAATTGGCAAAAAAAATATTTATTTAAAGAAATTCTCGGGGATAAAATGTATGTTATTCTATTGTACTTAAAATTAGGGGTGTTGATGGTTCGATTATTAGTTAAAATCAAAACCAAATCAATTTAAATCGGTTTTTAAATTTCTAAAACCAAACCAAACTAAATAAAAAAAAATAACGATTGGTAAGGTTATCATCGGGTTGGTTAGGTTTTTTTTTAAATTTTTTGGCCGGATCACCAACAAAGATGGTGAACTATAGCACACGATCATCGGCAAAACAGAGGGTATGTTTGCTTCAGGGCTTGTTTGACCTGGAAATTGGGTCGACATGTCCGTGAGGGCCAATCGGGTGCATAACAAAGGTCTTAATAGATGTCCACGTGAAATTTCAGCATTGTTGAAGTCGGAAATCCTGATCACCAATAGATACGGTGAGCAATAGCACATGATCATCGGCAAAATGGGAGGTATACGCACTTTGGGGCTTGTTTGGCCTGAAAATGGGTCGGCATGGCCGTGAGGGATAACCAGCTGCATAGCCAAGGCCTAAATAGATTTCCATGAGAAATTTTGACATTTTTAAGTAGGAAATTCGGATCGCCTAAAAAGATGGTGAGCTATAGCTCACGATCATTGGCAAAAAAAAAGGGGTATGCACGTTCGAAAGTAATAAATTTGTTGAGGACATAAGCATCTCGATAGACACAAACACTAGGTACATGAATAATTCACAAATAAGTTATTACAAGAACAAAATGATTTATCTAATGTACCAAGTTTCACTAACTAAAAAACTCATTATCGATAGCATGAAATTGGTTCAATATTCTAAAGATCTCTATGTCTTATTAATAGATTTTTCAATAAAATAAATTACTTAATTGACTATAAATAAATATTTTATTAAAGAGAGAACATTTTCAACGAAACTCTTCATATTACTAGGAGTAATTATTCATTGCTCACATCTCTTTAATTTTTACTCTTAATAAATTTATTCTTTTTCTTTTATTTTTTTTACCTTCTTTTAATTATTAATCTAATATATCCCACGTATGTATCTTTATATATTATCTAATAATAAAATTAGATATAAATAAAAGTAATGTGACATGCTTCTTTTTTTATTTATTCACTTATGTATTGCCTTAATTCCACATCATTCTTGCTTTATCATTTCAATAAAACTTGAAAAGTCATTTTCCACTATCTTAACCATTTCGAAAATAAATATTTTTGAATTTGATTGTTATGTTATACTTTACAAAATTGATAACAAAATAAATGAAAAGATCAACAACGCCTAAAAAGGTATGTTCTTTTCTTACTCCATGATATGGATAACATGAAAGTTTTGAGATTTTTTTATTAACATGAAATATTATATTTGTTTTTTATAATTTTTTCAATTATTTAGATGAACTCAAGAATCAATGAAGTTATAGTGTCAAATTAAATAAAGTATGATTATTTAATTATAAAAATATTTTTTTTTTGTTTCTTCATTTTGTCACATAAAAGTTACAAAATATTACTTAAGAGTTTAAGGTTGAAAAAATCATATAAGCTCTATAGATTAACTAACAATTTCGTTGATTGGTGCTTACATGAATAAAGGAAAAGTTGAAGAAGATTTTTAAAAAATTGAGAAAGTGGAACAAATTCAGAAGAAAATAAGGTGAGGTGTTATAATAAAATTATTATTGTAGTAATTTAATTTTTTTGACTTTTTCTTCCTCTATTTATTTTAAATTAGAGTTATATGCAACATTCCTATTTAACTTTTTGATTTGCTTATTTTTTTTTCATTCATTTTTTTGGTTTAATTATTCAAATATATCTCAATTATTCTTTATCCTACATAGTTAAATACATTAAATTTATTTGCACTGAAGTCTAAATCAGTCTTTTTCCCCAATGATAATTATACTACTTATTTGTAACAAATTTTCACCTCTTCATTTATAAATTATAATTAGTATATCAAATAATATAGATACATGGATAGGGTATGAAACGATAAATTTGAAGAGGTTTTAACACATTATAATATCCTTTTTAATTTTCATCAAAAAGATTATTGTTTTTCCTCTTAAATTTAAGAACCCATAACATGAATATAGAATAAGAAAGAGATTTTAGCTTTGATCGTCGGATAAATAGGAACAATGACTATGCCCTTGGCCAATGCACTCAATAAACAAATTGAGAACACAAAAACTACAATACACAATGCGTCTTTTTCAATTGTATTATCTTTTATCTTTCAATGATTGTTGTTTAATATTTCATGTTTTTTTAAAGTTGTATTTAGAAATATAATGAGATAATAAGTATGGAAAATCAAAAGGTTGGAAGGGAGAAGCTTGATGCTGGAGACCTTGCTTTATTTTATTTTATCTTTTTTTATATTACTTGTGTTGTATATATATATATATGCACACATATTATACCAAGTTAAGTTGTGATTGGTTCGTGTGAATATTTTTATTTTTGACTATATAATGAAATTTTTTGAAATGCTTATTATGTGGAAATTCTGTTTGTTTATTTATTTGTTAGTTAATGAAGTTTTATTTATAAAGGATTTTCATTATACAAAATGTTTGATTTTTTTAGCAGTACAACAATGGTGTAAGTGTAGTATAGATAACCGATTTAAAGTGGGTGGAGAAAATAACAATTAACTTTGAGTCTATTTTGATTGAAAGATATAAAAAATAATTAAAGAATTTTTCATAATTTAATTAAAATAAGTAATAATGTTATTAACACTTACCAAAAATTTAATATTACCAATGAAATTACCAAATGATTTAATACTAGGTGAAAGCATATGATCAAATTAAAGACCTAACATAGATTGTGTTGTAGTAATGAAACTATTCCATCCATCCTTAATCGAGAGGTTTTGGGCTTGAGAAATAAAACAAAAATAACAACCTTGATGACATTAGGACCATTGTTTATACAAATGTAAAAAAATTTGGAAAGACACTCAAACAAAAACAGCTTGATACTTTTCTATATGATCAACTTCACAGGAACTGTCAAACTCTTTGTGTTCCTCACTTGATTAATTAAGAAAAAAGGGTGATGGAACTGCATAACTCATTGTTGAGGAAGTTGGTTTGAGGCAGAGTTGATGGTAGTAGAATTTGGTTGTGCAAGCGAAGCTTCAATGTCTTTTTCCTCCGATGCATCTACATACTTAAGATATTGTTCGATATGTTTGGTGTCTGAGCTACTGAGATGCCATATTCCACTTGATTTATGCCTTCTTTCACTAATTGCAATTGAAATGTCATTTGGGAAGAGGTCTCTTATTACAAAGGCATAGATGATAGTTGTCACAAGAAGCGAGGTTACTGTGAGTGTAGCAAGAGAGCAAAGTATGACGACTAGACACTTTGTGAGAGTGTTGGTAACTACAGCTGAATACCTGATGGTAGCAATAGCAGCTCCGGTCATGGGGAAAGTATACGCCCACCAAGTCAAAGAAAACCTGAAGTTAACAAAACACACAAGCTACTTGAAACTAAGACAAAGATGATGTCAGGAATAACAAAGTATTACACATACCTGATGCCTCGGAAGAAATTAATACGAACAGCCTGTACAAGAATAAACGATCAAACATTTTCAGAATTAAAAGTAACACTTGCACTGGCTTCAGCATTAGCTGCATTTCGATAGATAGATAGAGAGAGGAGGGTGTATTTGAATGCTAAAATTCAGCCTACCAATGAGAAATAAAGGAACAGAGCGATGAAATAAGAAATCCGAGCTCCATAATCAAAAGACCCTTGGATGGTTGCCCATGCCATAGAAGCAACACTAGGTGCAGCAACAAATAGAAAGAAGACCGGGTGAAGATCCTTTGGCAGCGTCTCATTTGTTGGAAGTCTTTGGTAAAGAGTCACAAACAAGACCACATAATGAGCTAATCCAACAGCATAGAAGAATATCGGGCCTTCTTTTAGTCCCATGGATGCACCAAGCAAAGCACCAACAAAATTTCCAACAACCGAGAGATGATTTACAGGGTTGGCAACCTTTGAGAGCCTTCGTTGTCCTCCAGACATCCATTGTCCGTAGATCTTAAGCTCTAAGCAAAAGATTGGGGTCATAAGAATGTACCATAAAGCTATGGGAAGGGTTTTAGTAACTGATTGTGGAACTCCTAGTGCTAAGAATAGAAGTGATATCCACGGAGCAAAGAAGAAGTTAATACGTATGGGGTGATAGTACTCACGACGAACTGCTTCAAAGTAGAAAATGATTTTCAAAGCATAGGTGAAAGCAACAACCGCCATAAGGGCAACGGATATGCACCAAAGGACAAGATTTACATCTAAGCTTATATGGAGGAATTTTGTTGAGGAAGAAGTGGCAAGAGCTTTCCACATAATAGCTTGGCTACTAACACCAAGACAGATACCAAAGGAAGAAATAGGATATCTAAGAAGGAAAGGCCATTTCTTGTCCTCCGGAAGAATACTTTGCTCTGAAGCCTGTAAAGGAAAAAACATGTGTTACCAACATTACAAACTGCAAGTATGTGAGTAATACTTAAAAAACTACTATCTGTGGAGAAAATCTTACTCGTAGAGTATCCAACTCTGGTCCCTCCAACGCAGCAAAGTACCGGTCTACAGGAATATTTTCAATCTCTGCACTTGGTCGAGAGTTTGACTCTTGCTGTCCTTCCACATTCTTTCCGCGCAGATTTGAAATTTGTCTCTCAAGTTTACCAGACCATGTTTTGTAAGAGTCGAACCTTGAATCCCTTTGCTTCATCGTCTTGGGACTCCTTGATGCAAAGTCTGAATAGCTGAGAAGTTTCCCCATAGCAGGTGCCTCAGGAAATGCAGTATGTCTTGGCATTGTGTGAGAATAAAACTTGACTTTTTTGTTACGTCTGGTGCTATTATCGGTTGATGTAGTAGCCGAATCAGAAGAGTCAACATTGCTGAATATAATCTCATTGTTATCACTGAAAACAACTCTTTTTTGAATCGGTGGTGAGTAACCAGCCAAAGGAGAGGGTGGTAAACTAATGGAAACCGAATGCTTCCTTCCATGCTGTCGTTCAGTAGCAGCTTCAGTTACCTACAAAGATCAATACAGAGTATTAGATGTTAGCAACGTATTGCCTTAGTTACATGTAAGGACAGCAGCAAACTGTGAATGAAATTAATCTGCAAATGAATTCCCCACACAAATATTCATTTCTAGTTTTTCCTTGCTTTTGTAATTCTGTTACAAAAGAAGAACTTTTGACCTCAAGAGAGTCGAAAAAAACAGGTGGTAATTTCTGATGACATGTATGTGACTTTGATCTATAGCTATATATTTTAGGCTCATAACAAACAAGGAAGCTGAGGCTGCTAGAAAGTAAAACCATACAACCTTAGTCGAGTACATACATGAGAAATTGAACATCTTGATTTTAAATTGTAAGCATAGCAAGTAAAAAGGCACAAACAATTGCAAGATGTCATGAGTCATCAGGTCGGTGTAGATTGTTGATAGAATCATGTAGAAATGAAGAATGCAGCCTTACTAAGAAGAAGGACTTACCACGACAGGTGAGTTCTCAAAAGAAGTAGATCCTGTTGGCTCAAGCTGATTATCTACTATGATGCCAAAGTCATCCATTTCATCGTAAATATATTTGATTAGAGATGGGATTGCTTCAGTAGCAGAATTAGTTATTTCACTTGTTTCCATGTCTCTATATTCTGCAGGAGACAATAATCTTATTATTAAGTATGTGCAGGAAAGATTATGCAATTGAAATGTAAACCTATGATCAGCCACACTACTTGAAGCTCTTTCTTGTAGCACCAAAAGATGTAAGTTTTCTCTCTAAAGATCGATGGAGGTCAACTAGTAACAACCAAGATTGAGAGAATCTGCAAGCATTATTATTATATATAAATAGGATGATTCAAGCTAACTTCTTGGAAGCAACACATCATGTTTGTTATGGATACAGCTGCCATGTACGAAGATAACATCGATCCTTTTTTAGTTAAAAAAAATTGTCAACAATATGAAACCGAAAATAGCAGGTACAAGCTTGAATATTTGTCTTCCACACATTTGACTGTTAATAAAACAGAATAACATACATTTGTTGATACACATTTTCATTAATTTACCCTTTTATCATAACTTTCGAAATAGAAATCTAAAATTAATCGAGTCGCAACTTATATGATAAAGTTACTAAACAATAAAATTCTGAACAAGCATCACATAAAACTAAATAAACTGAGTCAATTTCTACTCAGATAGTTTTGGGTACCCACTCATATCTCACTTTATTAACAGAAGCACAACGGACGTTCTAATTTACTCTAGAATACTCTAAAAAAGTAATAACATAACGTAATTATAATATAAACAGACCTATTAATATCAAATGATTCGTAATTATAATTTTATAATAGAAAATTAGAATCCAATGATATTAATTAGACAAAATAAGAGCCCCCACTAATAGAATATATTTTTCAGTTTCCATGTAAAATATACCACACACACACATAAAAGGTGATGTGATATAAAATTCCAGGCTCACAATGATATATATATATTAGGTACATTAAAAATTATATATATAGAATGAAGAAGGAACGTGAGGAAATCCAAAGTCAAATTGTTATTCATATTAATAAAAAATAGAATAGACGGCCTGGAATAAAGGAAAGCATCTTTGAGCCGTCGATTAAATGACTGCCTAGCACTAATTATACACCAAACCATTAAAATGAGACATCTTTAAGTCAAACACGACAATATACCTGTAATGTATTCAAATAGCCCCTCCATATGATGTACCTTAGAGTCGTTGGATACGTCGTATACGGATTATAATTTATGAACTAATTTATTTTTTTAAAAAAATAAGATAAAATAATTTCAATCTAGAATATGAGATATTTTATCTTATTTAAAATTAAAAATAAAGAATATTTACCATTTAAACAACACCAAATGATTCATTAGGATAATCGCAATTTTTAACTAGTTTCTAGAGATGATCACTCTAATTTTTGCATCAAGGACCATATAATTAAAAGTTCAATTTCTATAAACTGAGATTGTATAAAGAATATTTTCTTTACCCTATATATGGCCTTAAAAGAATATTTTCTTTACCCTATATATGGCCTTAAAAGAATATTATAATAGGAACTTCAGACAAATAAGGCAAATTACTTATTAGTATAATATGTCAATTACTTATTAGTATAATATGTCTAAGTATATTACAAACTTTTTTTTAGTCTTATATCCTTTTATAAGAGATTTTTACTCTTTGTCCTTTTATAGAGAATTTTTACTCTTACACATAAGAAATATGAAAAAGCTATTCTCTTCTATTTAATTTATATATATAAAAAAAAAGTAAAGAGATCTCATTTCAATCTTTTAACTTGCGAAAGCAATATTTGGATATCTTTTTTCCTTTTAATTGTTGTACATTTTCTTGAGAATGCATAAAGAAAACGATATTCAAGCAGAATTTGAATTAATAAAAATCAAGAATTCACATTTCTGCACGAACTGCGTCCAAAATAAGCTTGTACAATGAATGTACAGTTTCCACTTAAATTTAGTCCTAGGAACCGCATTTCTTTAGCCGCAATTTACTTTTAAATATATAACTTAAATCACTAAAATATTAAAAGTGTAACTAATTATAAAGTAAATAATAAAAAAGTAATGATAGCAGTAGCCAGTAAGATTAAGAGGTTCATTAGGTCTATCGACAGTTTTTCTTTAGATTATGACTAGTTGAAAAAATAAAAAAACAATCATTAACAAACGGTAACGTAAAACTTTTTAGTCACAAAAATATTAATAATATGTCTAAAACTTTAAATTTTAAAAAAAGTTAAATCACATATTTATCATTATTAAACAGCGGCAGAATCAGCTTTTACTAAGGGGTTTGGGGCGAAAAAAAAGTTTTAGAATTTCTTTTTTTGTATATATATATATGTATAGCAGATGTTGAACTTCTTTCGGTTATTTCTACATATTTTAAACTCTCTTATTGAAAATTCTAACTCGATCAATAATTATAAATTTCATAATATTATTTTATTTAATTAAATACTATATAAACTCAAGCTTTAACAAACAAAGTAATAATATAGTTAATCCTAATAGGATCTTAGCTGTCAATTTAATCCTAGGAGCTGCACCGTAATTTAAGTACGTAAAACAAGGGGAAAACATGTTCTCTATAAGTTAAACACGCAAATACAGGTGTATGCTTTAGAGACGGAGAATAAGATAATAATACTGAGTTTGGTAATAATTTAGAAAAAGATAAGTCCACAGAGGTGGATATAGTTTTTAAGCTATAAGTTTAATCTAATCCAGTATTTTTATTTTTTTTATAGGGGGTCGTTTGTTTTTGTGCCAATTACAAGAAGAAGAAAAAACAAAGGTTTTATCTTAAATCTCTCATGAGATCTTATCTTAATATGCAAATTGTGAAGTATTAATCTGAGTATAATGTTAACAACTTTAAGAGTCGAGTTTATCGGATGCGTACCTTAACCAAAGTTGAATGTGAATTCGTTCCTACGATGACCAAGTCTAACAATGGAATCTGGAAGTCATATAGCAGTAGAACTGAAATTAAATGACAGTAATACAATATAATTATGTGTTGTTTTGGTTGAAGAAAGAGAGTTAAGATTTAAATGTGTATTTTGAATTGAGATAGTAAATTCTAAAAAACGAAATAGATATTTAATTATATTTATATTTGATTTTCATGACCTTAAAGTACGGGATTATGTTAAATGGTAAACTCACATTTGGATACATCTATCTATCTGTGTGCTACTTGTAATGAGTCAAATTCTTCTAAAGCCATAGATTTATTTTCTTCTCTTTTGCCTTTTTATTTAAAATCAAATTATTCCCAATCGGATAAATTTTAATTTGTGTGTTCAAAGGTTTACAAGTAGAAATCAACATTATCTATGAACCACTAAACCATATTGATTTGGAAGAATCTCAAACAAAGAAAGTTCATGTGGATTGTTAAAGTGTCTAAAAGAGTCTTGATTATTAAATTGTGAAGTCGAGACAGAGGTAATTAAAGTGAACATAATTTTTAGATATACACCCTATATTTTTTTAAATTTAAACTCAAAAATAAAGAACCAATAAAAAATTATATACCCATCCACGTACTAATATATATATATATACTAATCAAACCAAAACAATCACAAAATTAGATTTCAATCGACAAAGAATCCAAAATCCTAGAATCTTCTTTCATGTTTTACGACCTAACATACTTTGCTTTTGCGATATTAGTTCTGACCTAACCTCCACCCTTTGTGTAATTAAGACAATATATAATGTGAAACTGGACGGAGTACAATCCTTAACCATATAAATTAAGAAAAAGGGTCAAAATGTTCTTAAACTATTTGAAAAGAATAAAAATATCTTTCGTTTATAGTTTGGCTAAAAAATGTAATATTTTATTTTTAAAATGTCCTTAAACTATGCGAAAAGAACAAAAGTGTTCCCCATTTGTAGTTTGATCCAAAAATTCCTTATTATTAATTGATGGATCAAAAAAGTTCATTTTTCAAATAAATATATTATTACTTTCTTATTGACACATTTTTTTCAATTAATGTTTTTTTAAAAAAAAAATAGCAAATATTTATCTTACTATGATTCAGAAAAAAATAAAAAATGAAATTATGTTTTTTATCATCAATATTTTTTATCGTTATATAAATACAAAGATATACTATAATCTTATATGCATATATATATATATATATATATATATATATATATATATATTATCTATCAAAAAGGTATATGAAATTATTCTATTTTAATTGATAAAATGAGATTAAGAAGAAAAAATATTTCCTACATTTTTATTTGTTTAAGTGATTTTAGAAGAAAGAAAACAAGAATAGTGTTCCTTAATAATATTATAATTAGAAATAAGATATGTTAAAAAGAAAAAAAATATATATTTATTTTGAAAAAAGGGCATTTTGACTCATTTTGTAATTATAGGGGGCATTTATGTATCGAAGTATTAAGAGCCTGTTTGGCTCAACTTAAAAGCTGGTCAAACTGACTTAAAAGCTGGTTTTTGACTTATTTAGCTGTTTGGCAATATCCAAAACAACTTATTTTAAGTTAAAAAAAAACTTATTTTAAGCCAAAAGTTAAAAGCTGGGGTAGAGGTGTTTTTTTTTCCCAGCTTATAAGTTGTTTTAAGTTGACCACATTTTTACCTGTTTGCCATTAATATTTTTATACAATCTCCAAATTACCACATAACCCTAACATCTCTTTCTTCTATTTTTTCCTTTTTCACGTGTGGATGATAGACAATTACTATTACTAATGAATGAAAAAATAAAATAAATCTTAAATCTTTTAAGTGATCTATTCAAATTATATATTATTAAAATGTAAAATAAGTTGCACATATAACTTAAATAAAAATTTATATTCCTCTTATAAATAATTTGTGATAATAAAGAAATATGTGAATGATAGACAATTATTATTACCTATAGATGAAACTAAAATAAAATCTTAAATCGTTCTTTAATTTATTCAAATTATATATCTTTAAAATCTATAATAAGTTTATATTCCTCTTATAAATAATTTGTTATGAGAAAGAAATATGTGAATGATAACAAAATATAATTATTTATGGTTGTAAAATATAAATAAATTAACTTTTATTATTTTAACAGCTTTTAAGGGTATTTCAGACATTTTGATTTAAAAAGTTGTTTATCAACACTTATTTGCCTAACACATCAACAACTTTTTTTTAACTTCAGCACTTTTATCCAAGCGCATAACTGCTTATTTTAAAAATAAGTTTCAGCACTTTCAAAAGTACTTTTTTAAAGCTGCTTTTAATAAGTCCATCCAAACGGGCCCTAACTGCAAGAACATTCTTGAGCCAAAGTATTGACAGTAGAGATATTTTTTAACTAAACTATAAATGAGGACATTTTTAATCATATAATTTAAAAGCATTTTTGATCCTTTTCTCTATAAATTATAATCAATTTATACCACCTTAACTTTTCTATTGCATTATGTGATCTAGTGACTTGTGACCTTGGATTGAATCCCCAATGTCACTTTCCATTAGTTTTTTTTGTTTTAATTTGAATGACTTACTGTAGGAATAATGCTAGCATGAAATCGAATCTACGATAGTTCGTATACTTTGTATATTATTGACTATTAAGTTGTCACTCTTAGATATTTCAAAAATGGTAAAGTTTCACCCATATTATATACTTGTATTTTTGTCCAACTCACACCACCAATGACTAGTTTGATATGATCAGGGCGATGCCAAA